TATATATATATATATATATATATATATATATATATATATATATATATATATATATATATATATATATATATATATATAGAGAGAGTTGAGTTCACGTGAGACCAAAGGTTTTTTCGTGAGACCCGTAAGACCAATTTATGTTCATTGATCAACATTATAAACTTATGATCTAACGGTCTAAAGTTGCAAGGTGGCAATTTTGTAATTATTGAGAAGTTTCGTGGCGTTTATGAATGTTCAGATCTGACGATTGTAAATCTAATCCAAGGGTTGAGAATTGATCTTATGGGTCTCACGAAAAACCATTGGTCTCACATGATCCCAAGTCTATATATATATATATATATATATATATATAAAGACGTTGAAGCAAAAACAAGTTTTTCATATGCTATTTCCTATTCAAAAGAAGACTATGATATTTACTATTTCCGAAGAGACGTTAGAGTCAAAAGATTCCATATGTCAGTACAATTATAGATGGCTCTCAAAGTGCAATAATATATATATATAATTCATTGGAGGTTTAAATGACAACACCTTTACTTTGTCAAAATACGAGAACATCTTTATAACATGTGATAATACATGTGACACACTTGGTGGTGTGCGGACGACTTAGTATCACTTGTGATGTATTACAGTATCGTATATCAAGTTTACTCTTATCACATGTGGTAATACATGTGATGCGGCGTCGTAATGTGAGGACGAATTGGCATGCAACCTAGATCACGACAATCTGCGTATTTGATTGAGTATCACATGTGATTCACCATGGAAAATCAGTGTTCTTACGTTTTCGTAAAATGAAGGTGTTCTCGTTTGAACAATTCTCTATATGTATATGTATACATACATATAGAGAGAGGCTCAATCATTTGATAACCTAAAAAATTGTGATTATTGTGAGAACTATTATTCTAAAATATTGTTTCATATGATTTTTTTCCATCACAGACTATAATTTAATATATTGAAATTGTTTAGTTGTATTTTTTGTTTCACACGCATAAAAATGTTCACATTGTGAAATGAATATAGGTGAAACAGATATAATGTAAAATCAATATATGTTAACCAATACACTAAATCCAAACTATATATGAAATAGCACATGATGCACCATTTCTCAATTTTATCGCAAATTATTGGGTTTTCAAATGAAGGTTATACATACATACATACATACATACATACATACATACATACATACATACATACATACATACATACATACATACATACATACATACATACATACATAGACTTGAAATCACTTGACCAGCCTATTTTCGTGAGACCTCGCTGTGAAGGTTCGGCCTTTTTTTTAATCTTCACAGCAATGTAAAAAAAGGGTATCACGTGAACCCAACCATATATATATATATATATATAGAGAGAGAGAGAGAGAGAGAGAGAGAGAGGAGTAAGATCTTTTGTAAACCAATTTATTTGTGTTAACTTTAACTCTTTGGACCAATAGGAACCCATCTAATGTTATGGTTCATGCATCACGTTGTATTTATTGTCATGGACAATTCGGTAATTTTATTTTATTTTCGTGTATTACTCTAAGGCATTTAAATGAAGGTTACAAAATTCCATGATTTTAGCTATATTTTTGTGATGTAACGGTACATTAAATATGGAAAATTGTGATGTAACTTATGAACGTGTTTGGTAACCTATTGGATTTCAAAAACATCATTCATTTATGAACACTTTTACTGTTTCACCTATGAACAAAGTTACTGTTTCAATATTTTTCATTTTCATTTATGAACACATTTACTGTTTTACCTATAAACACATGATTATGCTATTATTCTTCACTTATCAACATATGATTTTTCTTATGATCATATTAGTTTCATCATGGACACACGATTGAGATTATGAACATATTAATTGATAAACTTGAAAAAGATGATATAATTTCGGTTAAGAAACACCAAGGGAGAAATTATTGGGACTAAACTTTGGGTATGATGGATGTTATTTTAATTTTCCAAGAATACCCTTGTTCACCTAAGTTCACACTAGTCTATAACGTATGCGTTTCCATTATATTAGAAAGATGTCATTGTGTTTTTTCAACCGTAGATCAAAAAAATTGAAGGATGTGATGGGTTAACAAAGTTAACATCAATGATTTGGTTAACAAAAGAATAAATCCGTATATATATATATATATATATATAGAGAGAGAGAGAGAGAGAGAGAGAGAGAGAGACTCATTCAAGGGAAAACTGATTAGTTTATGGTAACCGTGATATCCAATGTGAACTACTTATTTAGGATATTTAAGAATATTTCCTAAATAAACTAAAAGGGTAATATAGTAATTTTATTTTTGATAACTAATCAAAATATTTAATGAAATGTTTAGAAGGAAATATTTAATTAAAATTAGTTATCTAGTATATTAATTACCTAATATACATCATATTTTAAAGATGTTTGTGAATCAAAGTGTATCATAGTGATAACGTTCACAATGTTTCACGTGTATCACAATGTATTTTCTTTATTTTATGAATTGTATTATAGTGTGCATTTTCATTATTTTTATTGTTTTACAAAGGGTATCATATTGTGCATCTTTTATGTATATTTGGCTATCACAGTGAATATCATTGTAGGTATCACACTGTGTATCTTATGTAAACAAAAGGTTCATCGGAATAAGATTCGCCGGAGAGAGGAAAGAAAAGAGATGAGAGAGGATATTTATAAAATCCCTAAAATGCCCTTAATTAATATTTTAAGTTAAAATTACCAAATTTATTAATTTCCTAATTTAACTTCTGATTTGTGGTTGAGATTAGATCTCACAGTTACCACAAACAAAATAATTCTCATTTGATCACACCTCTATATATATATATATATGTGTGTGTGTATGTATATTTGTGTGTGTGCGTGTGTGCACGTAATCAAATGAGAATTATTTAGTTTGTGGTAATCATGAAATCCAACATGAACCAATCATTAATGATAACTATTATAACTTCTTAAAATAAATAGAAGGGTAAATTAGTAAATTGTGTTGACTATTCAATTTACTATAATTAGTTTAATATCTAATTTTGAAATAGATGTGTGTGTGTGTGTATTAGAATGGACGAGATCACCACTTGTGACTCTCTTTCCCCATCACCGGCCAAAACATGCTTCCTCTCCGCTGCGATACACCGACTCCTTTGCACCAACATCGTCTGACGCCTCCTTCTTCGGCCACCGATGCTTCTTATATTCTATCCATCTCCAACCACCAACCATCATCTTCTCGACTCTCACCTTCACCGGTCCGACTCCCCCTGTTGAACAACCTAGACCGATTTTGGTTTTTCATATTCCAAGAGATCTGGTTTATACACACCCAAATCGGTTTTGATTTCTGGTTTTTGTTCAAATCTCATTTCAAATCGGGGACATAACCCAAATCTTGCAGGGATGTAACCCAAATATCATCGAAGATGTAACACATAAGATATATGGTTTTTGGATGTAACATATATCTCTTTGGAGATGTAATGTCGAGTGTAATACAGTGGTAACACGGTGGTATCATAAAGATATCATAGTTGTATTCATCAACCAGATCTAGTATCATAATGTGTATCATAATACATTTTTGTCATTATACGAAGTGTATCACAATATATTTTTGTTGTTTTACAAAGTGTAACATAATATATCAGGTAATGTTGCTTTACTAAGTGTATCACACTGTGTTTTTTCGTTATTTTATGAAGCGTATCACAGTGTGCATCATGTGTTTGTCGGAATAAGGTTCGCCGGAATAAAGTTCGACAAAGAGAGGAAAGAGGGTATATAAGATTTTTAAAATACTTAAAATGCCCTTTCAATTAAAATTTAAGTCAAATTACCAAAATTATTAGTTCTCTAGTTAAACATTAATTTATGATTAAGATTGGATTCTTCACGGTTATCACAAACTAATTAGTTCTATTTTTAATGACCCCTTATTTTATATATATAGAGAGAGTTTGTTTCAAATACAACCTGTTGCATTTGTACAACCAATGCAATCCAATAAATTGAGATATTTATGGAAATGATGAGAGTTCATTTATTATGATTTGAATATTTATGAAAGATGAATATGGTTCATTAATTATGATCAATACTTTATATTAAAAAACAATCAAAACTTCTATGAAATCACATATTAATAAAATGAAATGAATAGTTGAGATTGAGTTGTATTGGTTGCACAAATGTCATGGGTTGTATAATAACCAACCTCTTTCTCTCTCTCTCTCTCTCTCTCTCTCTATATATATATATATATATATATATAGGGTTGGGTTCACGTGAGACCAAATGTTTTTCGTGAGACACGTAAGACCAATTTATGTTCATTGATTAACTTTATAAGCTAATGATCTAATGGTTTAAAGTTGCACGGTGGCAATTTTGTGATTATTGAGAAGTCTCGTGGCGTTTATGAATGTTCAGATTGTCAGATTGTAGATATAATCCAAGGGTTGAGAATTGGTCTAACAGGTCTCATGAAAAACCCTTGTTCTCACATGATCTCAAGTTTATATATATATGGTTGGGTTCACG